TTCTGTCTGTGTGTAAAACTATCGTTTCTGGGCAATACCAGTATTTCAAGAAGATTTTGAGCTTTAGCAATGTAATTTTATACCAAAACTCCCTTGGACCTCTCTCACCCCTTCAAAGTGTCCCGCCCTGTTTGTTTTATTGGTATTTATTGTATTACAATTTTTAGCACAGGGGAGAGTTCTTACGTATAAAACAGGTTCTTGGTAGACTTTATATTCTTATTACAATTATTAGAACTGTTTGATAAAGGCTAAATTAGACACCATGCATTGTGTAAAATTTTGACAATATCGAACATGAATATATATACATGTAGGTGACTTCATGTTGGCATATAATTTTCGCCTATTGCAAGCGGTTCCGTGGTCTAGTGGTGTGTCTCTCACTTCACATGAGAGAGGTCCCGGGTTCAAATCCCGGATAATCCACTTTCTTTTTTTCTACTTTTTTTTTTACTAAATGATAGTGTTCAGCATGTGAAATGAAATATTTATGAGGTCAGTGGCTCGTACAAACTCATAAATTCATCATTACAGTGTGATAAATATTCCATATAAAAGAATCTTCTATACACATAATAAAGAATAAGCAATCAAATCTTTATATCCGTATTGGCATATTTTATTTGCTTTAATATACATTTATTAATTCTACAAATGCAGTCAGGGGGAAACCCCCCCCCCCCCCCCCCCCGAACTGCGCATGGTTTACTTTTTCCCTAAGCGGGGGGCACAAATTCTGTGAATTAGCTCATTTAATTTAATGTTATTTTGACATATTGGCAGGTATATTCAAAACAAACATTCTATCATATTGTAGCATGTACCATGTATATTGCAATTGTAATGTGAATCAAAGTGATCCGAGTACAATCCATTTTTGTGATGTGACAAGAGAAATTTTGAAATCAGTGAAATAAATTGAAATCAATTCAAGTAATACATGTGAGTGAAATATTGAAGTGATTTACTACATGTACATTGGAAATTCAAATTCTGTCTAGGATATTGTGCATCATTGGAAAAATTCATCATGGGAGATGATATTTCAGAAGAAACCATGAAGCTAGGACATCATCAATGAATTCTTTTAAAGCCTTGAAGTAATGGTGCATTAAAATGTGAAACATTCTACAAACCAGTGTCTTGCTAAAGGAAAGGTTTACAGAGAAAACCAAATCCTACAAGCCTAATTTCAAGCTCAGTGAAGGAAAAGCCATAAATGTTCCAAAGGTCTGTTCCAAAGTATCAAATCTAAATTGCATAAATTTTGCATTTTTGGATGTACACTTTTTGTTGGTCAGTTGTGTGACTTTGCATTACTTAAACACAACATTCGTTGAGGTGAGCTCTGTAATCTCTGATTACCTATGTTTGACAGAGTTATGCCTTTTGGACTTAAAATTTCCAATTATTTATTTTCCTAGTGCATGTGCACCCAATAATTTATTTCCAGAGGGGGGATAATAAGTGTTTCACAAATATGTCCTGTTTTGATGAAATTGAAAGCAGCCAATGAATATTAGGAAAATTTTGCTGTGCAGAACAAGAATCTAATGAGACTGTATCAATATGGGGTCATCGGCTTAAAACATTATCAATAAAATGGTCCCCCCAAAAGAAGTAGGAGCAGTGAAATAGAGGATGACAAGTTGTGTCATGCTGCTTTTTGGGAAGCTAGGACTTATATTAGTATATATGACAAATTTCTATCCTTGGGTGAACTGAGATCAGAACTGCGAGCTATTGTAGAGGATCATGATCATCAAAAGGAAAGCACAAATTATAAAGGAATTAATCTACTAAAGATTCACATGTGAATACAATACATACCTCTTAAATGGATGAAGTCAAAGGAATGTTAAACAAGCCGACAGCTGAGGTAAACCAACTGAAGGATGAGAGATACGGCAGACCACTACAGTTCATTAGAGATACAGCAGGCCACTACAATTCATAAGGAAAGATAACTACACAGGAGATGAAAGAGAATCCATATTTTGGACAGTTTACAGTGTGCAGTTTAGACCACAAGGACAAGGAATATACAGGGTCAAGATTCGAATAGAGGTCAAGCATCATGAAGAGGTCTGTACAGAGGTCAATTTGAAACTTATTACACACAATGACTCGAAGGAAGTTAACCTAACCCAGTTGGACCAAATGGTTTGCCCTTGGTTAAGAAGGACATATCTAGTCCGAATGCAGGATAAAAGCAGACCATATGAAACAACCTTAAAACCCACCATGGCCAGCATTGAAAGGCAAACACTAGGCCAGGATCATGGAACACAGAGCCTCAAAAATCACCCAGAAACAGGACCAGGACTGATGGGAGAATTACAGATTAATATCTATGGCATGGAAACAATAGGATGCCATTTCAAATGGACAATTTACCAACAAAAAAATGGAGAATTTACATCTCAACATCAGTGTTACATCTATTTAAATGAGTTATTCCCCTTATAATTTAAAAATGTATTTTTTGCAAAAATATACAATTCTGGTAAAAGGTAAAATACTTTAAGTAAAACGATAAGAATGAAACATTTCATGAAAGTTTTTGGATAGTTTTTATTATTAATCTTATTTTATATAAGTGGGAGTGTAGGGTGTGGGAGAGAAAGGGAGTGGTAAAGAGAGGGAGTGGGGAGAGTGAGAGTGTGGATAGAGGAAGTGGGGAGAGAGAGTGGGAGAGAGAGGGAGTGGGGAGAGAGAGGTAGTGGGGAGAGAGAGTGAGAGAGAGAGAGAGAGAGAGAGAGAAAGGGAGTGGGGAGAGAGAGTGGGAGAGAGGGAGTGGGAGAGAGAGAGGGAGTTGGGAGAGTGGGAAAGAGAGAGAGTGAGGAGAGAAGGAGTAGGAGAGAAAGTGGGAATGGGGAAAGATAGTGGGAGAGAGAGGAAGTGGGAGAAAGAGAGTGGGAGAGAGGGAGTGGGGAGAAAGGGAGTGGGGAGAGAGGGAGTGGGAAGAGAGAATGAAAGAGAGGGAATGGGAGAGAGAGGGAGTGAGGAGAGAGAGTGGAAGGGAGGGAGTGGGAGAGAGAGGGAATAGGGGGAATAGGAAGAGATAGTGGACAGAAATGGAGTGGGGAGAGAGAGTGGGAGAGAAAGGGAGTGGGGAGAGAGAGAGTGGGAGAGATGGAGTGGGGAGAAATGTAGTGGGGGTAGGGAGATAGAGGGGGTGCAGTGAGATAGTGGGAGAGAGAGAAGGAGTGGGGAGAGGGAGTGGGAGAGAGAGGAGTAAGGAGAGAGGGAGTGCAGTGAGAGAGTGGGAGAGAGAGGGAGTGGGGAGTGGGAGAGAAAGAGTGGAGAGAGGGAATGGGGAGAGAGAGGGAGTGGGAGAGAGGGAGTTTGGAGAAAGGAAGTGGGAGTGGGGAGAGATAGTGGGGGAGTGGAAGAGAGAGGGAGTTGAGAGAGAGAGAGTGTGGGGAGAAAGGGAGTGGGAGAGAGAGTGTAGGAGAGAGAGAGAGAGTGGGGAGAGAAGGAGTAGGAGAGAAAGTGGGAGTGGGGAAAGGCAGTTGGGAGAAAGAGTGGGGGAGAGAAGGAGTGGGGAGAGAGAGTGAAAGAGAGGGAAGGTGAGAGAGAGGGAGTGAGGAGAGAGAGTGGGTGGGAGGGAGTGGGGAGAAAGGGAGTGGGGAGATTGGGAGAGAGAGGGAGTAGGAGAGATAGTGGAGAGAAATGGAGTGTGAGAAGGAGAGTGGGGGAGAAAGGGAGCAGGGAGAGAGAATGAGAGAGAAAGGGAGTGGGGGAGAGAGAGTGGTAGAGATAGGGTGTGGGAGAGACGGAGTGGGGAGAGAGGTAGTGGGAGTAGGGAGATAGAGGGGGTGTGTTGAGATAGTGGGAGAGAGAGGGAATGGGGAGAGGGAGTGGGAGAATAGAGAGAGGGAGTGTGAAGAGAAGGGGAGTGGGAGAGAGAGGAGTAAGGAGAGAGGGAGTGCAGTGAGAGAGAGGGAGTGGGGAGAGGGAGTGGGAGAGAGTGGAGAGAGAGAAAGTGGTAGAGAGGGAGTGGGGAGGGAGAGAGGGAGTGGGGAGAAAGGAAGTAAGAGTGGGGAGAGATAGTGGGGGAGTGGAAGAGAGAGGGAGTGGGGAGATAGAGTGGGAGAGAGAAAGAAGTGGAGTGAGAGTGGGAGAGAGAGGGAGTGGAGAGAGAGAGGGAGTGGGGAGAGAGAGTGGGGAGAGAGAGTGGGAGAAAAGGGGAGTGGGGAGAGGGAGTGGGAGAGAAAGGGAGTGGAGAGAGAGGGAGGGGGAGAAAGAAGAGTGGGGAGAGAGAGGGAGGGAGAGAGAGAAAAGCAGTGAGAGAGGGAGTGGGAGAGAGAGGGAGTGGAGTGAGAGTTTGGAGAGAAGTAGGAGTGAGGAGAGAGAGGGGGAGTGGGAAAAGAGAGTGAGAGAGAGGGGGATTGGGGAGAGAGAGAGTGGAAGAGAGAAGTGGGTAGAGAGTGAGTGGGGAGACAGAGAGTTAGATGAGAGTGGGAAGAGAGTATGGAGTGGGGTGAGAGAGATTGGGAGAAAGTGAGTGTGAAAGAAAGTCAGGGTGGAATGAGAAAGGAGTGGGAGAGAGAGGGGGGAGTGGGGAGAGAGTGAGTCAGAGAGAGACAGGGAGTGGGGGGAGAGGGAGTGGGAAAGAGGGAGTGGCAAGAGAGGGAATGGGAGAGAGAAGGAGTGTGGAGAGAGTGGGAAGAGTGGGGAGAAAGGGAGTTTAGGAGGCAGGAATTGGGGAGACAGGGATTGGGAAAGAGGAGTGGGGAGAGAGTGAAGGGGAGAGCATGATGAGAGAAAGAGTGGGGAGAGAGGGAGTGGGAAGAGAGAGTGGGATGACAAGGAGTGGGGAGAGAGTATGGAAATAGGGAGTGGAGAGGGAGAGAGAGTGGAAGAGATAGTGGGAGAAAATGGAGAGAGGTAGTGGGAGAGAGTGAGGAGGGGAAGTGGAGAGAGAGAGAGTATGGAGAGAGGGAGTGGGGAGACAGGGAGTTGGAGAGAGAGTGGGGAAAGTGGGAGAGGGAATGAAGAGAGAGTATGGAGAGAGGGAGTGGGGAGAGACAGTGGGGAGTTGGAAAGTATGGAGAGAGGGACTGGGAGAGAGAGAGAGAGGGTGGGGAGAAAGAGAATGGGTAGACAGGGAGTGGGGGAGAGAGTGGGGGAAAGTAGGAGAGGAAGTGGGAAGAGAGAGTATGAAGAGAGGGAGTGGGGAGAGACAGTTGGGAGTGGGAAAGTATGGAAAGAGGGAGTGGGGAGAGAGCAGAGAGAGAGAGAGGGTGGGGAGAGAGAGAATGGGTAGACAGGGAGTGGGGGAAAGTAGGAAAGGGAGTGGGAAGAGAGAGTGTGAGGAGAGAGAGAGAGTTGGAAGAGAAAGTGGGGAAGAGGGAGTGAGTAGAGAGAAAGTGGAGTGAGTGTGAGAATTGGAAGAGAGAGAGTGGGAGAGAAAGGGAGTGGGAAGAGAGAAAGTGGGGAGAATGAGAGATGGAGTGGGAAGACAGAGTGTGGGGAGACAGGGAGTGGGATAGAGGGCATGGGTAGAGAGAAATTGGGGAGAGTGGGAGTGAGGAGAGAGAGTGTGAGGAAAGAGAGAGTGGGGGAGAGGGAGTAGGAAGAGAGAGTGGGAAGAGATAGTTTGGAGACAAGCGGGAGAGATAGTTTGGAGTAGGAAGAGAGAGTGGGAAGAGATAGTTTGGAGACAAGCGGGAGAGATAGTTTGGAGACAAGGAGAGGAAGAGGGAGTGAGTAGAGAGAAAGTGGAGTGAGTGTGAGAATTGGAAGAGAGAGAGTGGGAGAGAAAGGGAATGGGAAGAGAGAAAGTGGGGAGAATGAGAGATGGAGTGGGAAGACAGGGTGTGGGGAGACAGGGAGTGGGATAGAGGGCATGGGTAGAGAGAAAGTGGGGAGAGTGGGAGTGGGGAGAGAGTGTGTGAGGAAAGAGAGAGTGGGGGGGAGGGAGTAGGAAGAGAGAGAGTGGGAGAGATAGTTTGGAGACAAGGAGAGGAAGAGAGAGTGGGGAGACTGGAAGAAAGAGGGATTGGGTAGAGAATAAGTGGGGAGAGTGGGAGACAGGGAGTGGAAGAGAATGTGGTTAGAGTGGGAGATGGAGAGGGGAGAGCAAGTTTTCAGGACATTTATTCACAATATCCTAATACTGTGTGTAGAAATTGAAATTTTGGTATGACAACCCCCACCCCTTAAAAAAATACAAAATTTTCTGTTTTACCTCATGAAGAATTTTAAGCTTTCAGGAGGAAATAAGTTTATACCTGTATTTCTTTTTATTACTAGTATACCCCCAAAATCAAGGATTCAGGTTCAAGCAAAGTCTTGTTACAAATACAATGTTTTTTTAGCATTGAACTTGACTTTGGAGTTTCTCATACTTTTGAAAAACGTTATTCTTGTCCATAACTTTTGAATGGATGTGCTCTAGCTTTCATTTTTCATAAGCATATGTGTATTTCTTGTCACAAGTCCTTCATTTTGGCTCTATTGATTAAAGTGACATTGACCATGACATTTGACCTAATTCTTAAAGAAAACAACAAAATGTTAACCCTCATCTTTACTTATAAACTGTGGTGGCATATATGGTGACATATTTCTGCCCCCTACATGCAAGATAAATTATGTTAACATGCAAATTGATTATGTAGACATGCAACATATTTATGTCAACATGCTGGTTAATTATGTTGACATGCAAGTTACATGTAAAAATCTCATAAGCAGATATAAATTCGCATGTTGACAAAATTATCTTGCATGTTGTCATAAATAAATTGCATCTTGACATAAAAAAGTTGCATGTCTACATAATTATGCCTATGAAGGCATGTTTCTGCCCCCTACATGCAAGATAAATTATGTGAACATGCAACATAATTATGTAGACATGCAACATATTTATGTCAACATGCAAGTTAATTATGTGGACATGCAAGTTACCAATCTTATAACAAAATATAAATTAAATATGGGCAAATTCACTTACTAATGCCTGTATCTGACATTCAAGATGCAAGATGCAACATAATTATGAACATAAACAGTTGGTGCCTGGACATTTATATTTTATATGTTTATTTCTTGAGACAAGACCTTTTGTTGGGTACCAATATTTTTTTTACATATCTTTTGACCTTGGTGTTTGACTTGCATATAATAAACTTTAACCTTTGCTATGATTAGCATACAGTGTTTCACAAACATATCTTGTTTATTTATATATTCAAGATTAACACATCACAATAAGAACAATGTCATGGATTTAAGTCCAAAATGTTGATATACTTCCATACATTAATATTTAACAAACAAAAGTTGCTTACAGGAAAACAAGAGAATGTATATGAAGCATGAGAAAAAAAAAACCTGTCCAAAATGTCCATGTACAATAAAAATAAAAGTTTCATAATGTATCTGCTTATATTTGTTTTGAGTTTCATTATTAATCTACATGTACTTTGAAGGTGCTTAATTTTTCAAATAATTCTTAGAAGGGAGACTTCATTATCATGTAGAAGTGAAACATATTTATGCTAATGTTCATAAAATCAAGTACTTCTGATCCAATTTTAGCTATTTTTAAAAGTCATTTTTTTTCCTTCATTTTTCATGGCATTTATCTTTGTTTTTTGTATCATATTTTAAAAAACTTAGTAATGGCAACATAGCATAGAAAAGAAGAATAATCATTACTATAAATCTTTCTTATGATTTGTAATGTATTGACTCATTTGTTGTTTTTTGCACGTACATTGCATATACATACTAATATTGTTACTTCTCCTCAGAATTAAAGAATTACGTTAAAAAATAATTAATTCACATACACATGTTAAAAATGTCCTTTATTCCAAAATATCAAGAAAATTCTCAACAAAATCTGTCAGACACAATCTTGATATGGTATTTTCACAATTAACAAGAATTACATCAAATACTTTCTGCTTGTTTCAAAGGTACATGTACAACGCTGTATCTTGTTTATGTCACCAAATTTTTTCTCAATATCTGTACAACCTGAAAACCTTGAGAATTTTAAGCATAAAAGAAGAATTTAACTAACTAAATATTTACCAGAACAGTTTCATAAACTGGGTGCAAATCATTAAGAATTATTTTCAACCCAAATTCATTTTTGTTCCGTACTGGTTCCATTCACTGACAGGTTTACATTCAGAATAGGAAAAAAGTATTTTATATTACTGCCAACATTTAAATAACAATTACACAAAGCTGCTATAAAATTGTCACAAACCTTTTTTCAACAAAAAAAATCCATGAATACCTAGAGAAGAGAATACAGGCAATTGTATGGTTACATTTATGTATACATGTACCTACATTTACCACCCATAACCAAAATTGAAGCATATACGACTACATATACAGGTATCTTATGTCAATATAATAAATACCTGTACAAGGGTATAGAGGATCAGACTGTTTCAGAACTATGTGTTCATGGAAAAAGTGCTCACAAAATTAATACAACATACATTTCTGAACAATGCACATGATTGAATGATTATGAATGGATTTCATTAGAAGCAAAACAGGGGTTAATTGTACTTTGAGCACATAGCGCATTTCCATACAAATTGAGAAATAAAAGGTCATACGGTAATATTGATTCATTTTACACCCCTTATATGAACCCAATACAAGTACTACATTTTTTTTTCTTTACACTCATGCAAGAACAAACACTTATTTTCATATTACTCACAAACAACATTTGTAGATCTAAATTTCTCTTAAAAGAATAGCCTTTACTTTACAATGGAAAAAAACATGGATAATATCAAATTTTTAAGAGATGGAAAAAAAACCTCAAACCTGAATATTCCAGTGAGACAACTTTAAGTAAAATCATAAGATATGTACCAAAAACCAAAGCATGACAAAATTTTCACTAAAATAACACAAGAAAAAATTAGAGAAGAGAAAATTAGCATTGCATATCAAACTGAACCAAAATGCCTTGAAATTGTAAAACAAAAAGAACACTGAAGGTATAACATACTGCCAAAATTAGACACTAACTGTTTGTTTTCCACATACAATTTTCATTTCTACCCTTACCTATATAAATATCAAATATGAGAATACAGTTAACAGTCAATCTATCCCTTAGACTAGAGGAGGGCAGTACCAGTACATCACTAAGGGGTATATTTCTGACTAGAAAGGAATGATTCTTTGTAAAGCAGTACATAAAAATTCAAATGAATTACATATATCTAGAGAAAAAACCAAATTTACATTTCATATTAAACTTCTGATGCAGAGAAAAAATAAAGCAACAAGAGGGAAGAATGGTGGTCGGTACTAATTTGATTCTTTTTATTTAAGATTATTTTATAAAAATATAGATTTTGAAAATAAAATCCTAATATTTTAAAGAAAAAAATCCATTGCTCCCCTCTCCAGCAGAGTCATAACTGAGCTTGTAACAATCAGTGTCATTACTGAGCTTGTAATGTTGTTAGTTGTTGTTCTGTTTGCTGAAATACTTCTGAGATTCTTTTGGATTGGGAATAATCTGAAAGAAAAAGAATGCCCATAAAAATTCATATATACTGATGTGTTGAAGTTTTCTTGGTCCTATAAAGTTTGAGATAACAAGGTTTCACTGTATTCATACTATTTTTTTTTTTTTTTTTTTTAAAGTTAAGTAACTTGTACATTGGAACTGTGATGATTATAGTTTTCCTTTAAGGCTAATAGGTGAACCTATGCAGGCTTCTTCCCTGACACTAACACTAATTCTAATCTTTTCATTTTAAAACAATCTGTGGCAAATTTTGACATATTTTTCAGACATACTGTATTGAAAAAACCATGCATACAAGCACCTTTTTCCACTTTATCAGTAAATGCATAAATTAAAACTCTCTTATATTAATACTTTGCCTTCTTTGAGGGAAAAAAGGTAGCTGCCTTCTAAGCATCTTGAATAGATCCTTCCCATATAATGCTTTTGTTATGATGATACATAATTTCATAATGCTCTTGTAATGATGATATATGATTCCCATAATGCTCTTGTAATGATGATACATACTGTGTCACTTCCTGGTTTCCAGCCTGCGGGACAAACTTCTCCGTGAGTGTCTGTGTACTGGAATGCCTGAACCAATCGTAGCGTCTCATCCACTGACCGCCCCACCGGAAGGTCATTCATGGTGATCTGACGTAAGATTCCCTTTGGGTCAATGATAAATAATCCTCTGAAATGTAAAGGAACAAGATGTGTTTGTAAAACACTGATGCCCCCGTATGGCAACATAGCAAAGATTAAGCTTTTCTTAAATGCAAATTTAATTAATTGGTACCAAAAGTAGGGTATTCTCACTGGAAAACAATTGTGAAATTTGAAAGTAAGCTAATGTTAAAGTTTTTTAATAATTACAAAAATCTCCAAGGTCAAGGTCAAAAGGTCAATGTAATTAGTATCAAATGAAAGGTCTTGCATAAAATACTTTTGTAGAGCATGAAAGCCCTAGTCCTAACCGTTCAGAAGGTATGGTCAACGTTCAATTTCTTAAAAAGTAGGTCAAACTCCAAGGTCAAGGTCAAAGGGTCAAATTTGGTGGTACCCAAAGAGAGGTCTTGTCATAAGGATCAAATATGTAAAGTATGAAAGCACTGGCCCTAACTCTTTAAAAGTTATGGTCAAGGTTTGCTTTTTTAAAGTAGGTCAATCTCAAAGGTCAAGGTCAAAGGGTCAAAGTTCTTGGTATCCAATGAAGGGTCTTCTCACAAGAATTATATGTATGAAGTATGAAAGCCCCATCCTTTACCGTACAAAAGTTATGGCCAAGGTTAAAGTTTTTTCACAAGTAAGGAAATCTACACGGTCAAGGTCAAAGGGTCAAAGTTGTTGGTATCCAGTGAAAGGTCTTTTAACAAACATTACATATGTGAAGTATAAATGTCCTGGTTTTACTGTTCAAAAGATATGGCCAAAGTAAAATTTTAAAATTTTCATGTAAAAGTTGGTCAAAAGGTCAAATTTGGTGAAAGAAAGGTCTTAATTGTCACAAGGAATACACATATGAAATATGAAAGTCATAGCTCCACTAAATCAAAAGTTATGGGCAAGGTTAAAGTTTTTGCAGACAAACAGACAAACAGAGAGACAGAGAGAGAGAGAGAGAGACAGACAGACAGACAGACACGACAAAAACTATATGCCCCCGAAACTTCGTTTATGGGGGCATAAAAATTTAGGATTCAAACATGCTATTTTTAAGATTATACAGAAGAATGTCATTCCTTTAACTCCAAATTAAGTCTCAAGAAATATGTGATTTTCAGTATCTTGCATCAATCTTCATGACTGAATCTGACTCATTTGCAATGATTTGAAATTTCTGACTATAGGGGGAGGACTTTCAATTACATGTACATGCAAATATTAATATCACTGCATGACAATTTTTTGTTGATCTGGTTCAAAAGGGACAAAAACATACAGGACAGGATGAAAAACATCAAATATATAATATAAATTTTTTATCATCAAAACGATATTGATCTTGAATCCTAGATAGCTACTGAGCATAATGTCAAGGACTACCTTTTAATATTTTACAGGCTACTAGTGCTGGCAGACACATAAGCTCACCTGAGACTGTGTCCCAGATCCTGTAGATACACCCCATAGGCTTTGGAGATCTCGTGGGTGATGTCTGAGAGGACAGCTATGTTTAATGGTCCCAAGCCTCCCTTAGCTCTTGGTGTGTTGATCCTAGAGAAAAGTTGAAAGTACATATATTAGTCAAACATATACATTCTTAAAGCCCAAGTCTAATAAAGTCACTATCACCCCCCTAAATTATAGTACAGAATTTCTTAGTGCCGACCAGTATTATATACATGTAAACAAAAATGTTGTCTGATACAGATTATTTTGCCCTGATACTGTAGATGTACTTTTTTCCACGGGGTGAAAATTCCATGGAATAACAATTTCTATTTAATCAGCGGGTAGAAAATAACACGGATTTTCTAGACTGTCACTTTATGCCTTACATTTATATTAAGTATGTTTGGACAAATTTCAGTGGATTATTTGTGACTGCGTACATAGCGTAAATTAATACCATGCGGAAAAAAGTACTTCTACAGTATATTATTTTATCAATTTTGCCTATCATTCGTGTTTTGTTTAAAAAGAGATGACTTTATCAAATTTCAATTTTGCCTTGTTTTGAATTAATAATTCATCCACTGGTGACAAAGACATTGGAAATGAAAATTTCCCCTTATGTACAACAATAACAAAATGAAATTCAGAGCATGAAGAAAAATCTGTATCATTGTTTTCATTTGAAAATCATTTAATAGATTGTTTACTTTCTACCCAACACATCTTTTACTAAATTCATTCAAACTCAGAGTCAATTGTTTTGGAGTGACATTCTATTACTGTGGATCTCTAACTACTAAAACCAAACAATAAAAATCTTGATAACTATAGACTTACCAGGCCAGGTGTGTGAACTGTGAATCCACAGAACAGGCAATGACCTCCGTATTAATCTTTTTAAACTCTCCAATCCTGTCACTGAAAGCAATGATCTCGGTGGGGCACACAAAAGTACTACAAATGTAAATGACACAATGTAAAAGTGGGAAACACAAAAGTACTACAAATGTAACTGACACAATGTTATAATTGGACACACAAAACTTGAAAAGTTATGCAAAGGTAAACAAGAAATGATCTTCTGTGATACACAAGCCACTGTTACCCTCTTCTTCAAATAAAGAATGTATCATAATACATGTATCACATACATAAATGCAAACTGAATATTAAGGTAGATTATTTGCAAAATACAATATAAAAAAAAAAAAGCTTACACAATTCCATTTATTTTCATTTAAAAATAGCAGTACTGTATGCAGTAAAAGGTGAAATATATATTAAAGGTTGTTTGGTGTGTTTAATTTTTTTTATATATGTAATTGAGAATAAATGATGTTTTGATGAAATTTGTCTTTAATATTTTATAGTTTTTGACGCTGATATCACGTACATTTCTAAATGACGTGCTATTGCCGAATTGATAATACAATACAAAACGGATTTCTACCACCTGTGTGTCTGCCCTTTTAATTTCTTTTTGTTCACTTTTATGAATTTTGTTTCGTTTGTTTAATTTAGTCTACACGTTAATCTGCTTTATTTTTATTTGTTTATCATCTCTAACTCATTATACAAGGTATCCATTTTCTTCTTTAATGTACGCCTGATTGCCATTAAAGTATTTGTATGCGCCAAAATTTGTATGAGCCAAGTACAGGTATAAGATTTTTAAAACGACAAAGATTTAAGAAATTGACAGTAATGGTACATCAATATGCTTAATTAACTATCATTTGTGCACGAGTTCTGCAATCCTTTCTTTTGGGGCGGGGGGGGGGGGGGGTAAACTTAAAATTATATATTGGAGAGACGATAATGATTTTGGTAACATCACTAAATAAATATCGCCAAATAAAATATGTACGTCCTAAATAAATTGTCATTTATAACTCAGTTTTATTATTGACAATCAATAGCGATTCGGCTTAATTACCATTGCAAGTATTGTTTTGTGTGGGAGTTGTTTTTTTTTGGGGGGGGGGGGGGGGGGGCCGGCCCAAGAGTTGCAGGTCCGTAGGAAGCAATTTCAATTAGGGGCACAGATACTCGTTAATACTTTCATTTCGGGGTACTATCAACAACCAAAACTTCATGACAAGCATAAAAAAGGAAGAGGTATCAGGGGTTTATAATTGAAGGCCACACGAGCATATATGCATTATTTTTCTTAAATCTTCATGAATTGAAACTGTTTTTTTACACCTTTTATGCTTTCAATACATAGTAGTATGGTCAACGTATGATAAGAAATGCCTTTTACGCTCTCTTGAAGGGAAAACTGAAGTAATTTAATTAAGGGATAGTCAAAATTAATTCATTCTATTAAGTATTTAATGTATACAATGTAGATCATAAAGCTACTTTGATTCAACTGCAATATTTAAAATTTAAAACCGTGTAAATTTTATTAATAGATAAAAATGATGCAATAGTACATATGTTTAAAATGTTTTCAAATCCGTAAGATTTTTTTTAAAAATTATATCCATGTACATTTGTCAAAAATTTTTGCACCCTTAGCCTTACGTTAATTAGTATTGCCTAGAAAAAATTTCAACAATCACATGACATTGAAATAGTGCCATGTTGTTTGTAAATTATGGCAATTGATCAAACAGAAAATTTTCTTCACGGCCGATTGCATGCTTTATTTTGAGTGAATTGTTTATCAATTTCAATTTTACATTTTGTTGTTTTTACATTTGGTCATGGAAAATTTTTAGTGTGTCCAAAGTAATATTTTGTGAAAATTTTTATTAAAAATTGTTAAACTTTAAAGTTTTTTTGCAAGAAATTGGGGCCAAAACACATATTATTTTTTTTGCTAAATCGATTCTAAAAAATTTATTGTAGGATTAATATAAAATTATTTTATTTTTTAATTTTATAATTATTTTTTCCGGCAACGGTATTTTTTTATATATTTCATACAAAACCAAATTGAACATGTCATAGCTATTTGAATTACGATTACAATCTAACCACGCAGACGAATTTCAAAAAAATTCCATGTCTTTGAAAAATTCAAAACTCATGTGGAATTTTACTGACAAATTTTTATGTATTTTAAACATATATTTCATGTAAGTCCATATTTTAAACATATATTTCATGTAATACAACTTGAGTATATATATATTTTTTTCAGTTTTGAAACATGAAATTCCTAAAATTTTGAATTTTTTCCCCAAAAGCTAAAAAAAACTTTAGTGTGAGGGTGCAAAACACACACACTTCTAGGTCAGGTAGCAGGAAACAAGACTATTTTTTATTTTGGCCTGAGTATGAAAGAAAAATTATGTCAATTATGTGAGGGCAAAGTAATTATGATGAGCACCAGATTTCTTGATACAGTCACACTGATGATGAATACTGGTACAACAAAATTTTGGTCAAAAAATTATTGCTTTGTAAATAGACACTGTTTCATAAATTACTCTGCAAAACTGTTAATTTACGAAGTATCATTTTTTGGCTTAAACATTCATCATCAGTACTGTATGACTGTAATGTTTGACATTGTGACTGTTGGGCAAGCACAGTTATGTTCTATCAAAAACCTATACACAACTTACGCTTGTGCTGCCTATCCTCGGTTTATAAAAAAAAATAAGAAAGAAATAAAGAAAGAAAACAAAACAATGAAAAGAATCATTTCCCATGCATCGGGATCGAGATTCCAAACTTCTCTGAAGTTTCTGACAAAATCGAAAATACTTGAGTCGTTTAAGTGATGAAATTATGACATGAATTAAAAATTCCTGTTTGCGTTGACTTAGGATGCAAGCGTAAGATTTTCTGGCATGGAAATTGCATTAAGTAGTTGATTGTAATTTTTTTCAAGTGGGTTGTTGCTGTTCGTAATATTTCTTAAGTGGGTTGTTGCTGTGTTTAACCACCATGTTGCTATGCACCGCAAAGGATTCTTGGGAGTTTGGAATTTTTTCACGTGGGACAAGTATTTGTGTGCTGAACAATGTGCAAAGAAGTCGAACCCCAATTTCCTCCTAATTCAAATCATACACATTTTTCAGTGATAGCCATTTAAATGGTGCAGTGCTCCTTTTGCTATTTATTAAATTTGGTGCTCATCATCTTGCATTGTTCCTGCATTTGGCCACAAAATGCAAGTTGAGCAAAAAGTCGGCAAAAATAGCTACTTTGGGTAGTTTTAAATACCTACGTACCTACGTACGTAGAAATAGTATTTGGACTGGACTTGATAAATGGGGCCAATTTATCAGGTCCCCAGGGGTATTACATAAATTTTTCAAAGACATGTTTGCGTGATGAAAAGGAGTGAAAATGTTCTGCAAATGTTGCTTAAAACAACTAAATGACACTGTCCTTAATCTGATTAAAATGAGGTCTTTTGGTCCTTGGAAAAGTAAACAAATCTTGCAAACAGACAACAACTTACTGACTGCCTGGCTCCACTGGATCGCATGACCAGAAGTTCGTCTTGTTTCCTGTGGGAAAACACTTCCACCGGCATATGAATAACATTTGTCATCATCTGCAGCCCTGCCAAGGGTGCAAAACACCAAACATACAATGCCGAGAAGCAGCATGTTGACGGAGGTCGCCATTGAACACGTTGACTTCCGGTAAAGTGTAGAGCTAGCAAAAGCACCTGCTTTTGTTTTCGATTAGATAAATTGTGTTGATTTGAAGGGCAGGATGTATCTTAACATTGTTTGTTATTCATATTTATTTAATTAATAAGAATTGATTATTGTATTTTTGTGATATCACTTTCTTTCAGTAATACGAAAATGCGGATAGATAAATTTGGAAGCATTGCCAAGGCATCAATCCCAAACAGTGGATTAGCTGTGTCGTAGAACTTGGATATCTCATTACACTATTGTGTTTAGACCGCAGATCATATCATTGATGAAGTTTATTTAGTACAGGTAATTATCCAACTTATATATCAAAGAAAATCATAAAAATATATTATTATTCTTGTTCTATGCACCAAATTTCATTGCATGACATGACATGCAATGTTTTGTTCTTCTGTGCACCATACTCTGAGTGCATGCAACAAGTGCATATTATTTAAAGACAGGTATTGCCAGATACAGGTGTGTATAAGTTCAATTCCTATGCAAATTTGAAATTAATAATATGTAAGTTTATTTCATAGTACACAGTGATGTATACTAGAGGCCCAATATAAAATCATAATATTTTATGAAGCTTCCTTCATTTTTGCTTGTGTACAATATTCATTTTAAGATACAGTATTTAAGAGAAATTTTACAATGTTTTAAAGAGGAAACCTACTTCTTTCCTCTCCATCTCATTTTTTGAATAAATATGATAGATTATTTATTAGTCAATCAACAATGATAATTATAATGTATTTGAAAACTTAGGCCATTGTAAAAGTAATTTGCACACCGTGTCATGATATATGTGCCCTGATGAGTGATGAAGCTTATTTATTTATTATATACAAAATCAAATTATGACTACTGTAGATTCCTAAATCTATGCGTGGAATTAATTATCGCATAATTTTGCGAGAAGTACCACAAGCCAAATAAAACTACTTGCCTTTATTTTTATGATGCTGAAATCTATGTAAAATCTCTTGACCAACAGTCCATTCCCGAAATTTTATTCTAGCGATTTGACATTAAAGAGCCCATTTGCGATAATATTTTTCCATGAAAATAAGGAATAAACAGTATACTAATTTAAAATCGGATATTTTACAAGTTTTATAAACATCAGATTATATGTACTAGATAAATATATAGATCAAGGTTTAGGAAAATAAATTTTTCAAATGTTTTTTAGTAATTTGATCAACAAAGAGCCACAAGATCAGATCTTTGACAGGTGTAAATCACCATATCAAACTTGACACTGTGTCTCATTTGATACTTTGCATCTCATTTAATCTTAATGCTTTATGCCTGTAACATTAATAAGATCTATATAGCTCTTCTGATTAAAGTTTGATTTTAGTATTGTGTCCATTGTATGTTGAAAATGGAATATGTTTCATAGTTCACTGTATTTTCACTATGAAAAAAATTATGAGAAATTCAGCATAATTTGTATTACTGATTATTTTTTCTCTGCATGATCACTTTGTTGCTTTTAGTTATACTCATTAACAACTGTTGTGTAACATTTTCTGGGATGCAAGGGATGTATTGGTTAACCAATCTTGTCCATTTATGAAACTCTAAAAGTGATGTTAATTATCCTGATTGAGTTGTTATTTGCTGTAGAATTTCTTTTTCATCTGTTTTTTTCTCTCTGTTTTATTTTTGTAACATTTTATTAAAAGCCACTTTTTATTGGCCATCTGATTTAATATTCCAATACCATCAATTATCTATAGGTTACAGGATCAATAATCTAGAGTGTAACTGTTGTTCATGTTTGTTAGCACTTGCAAGTGTATTGCAATTCTCATGTTGTTAACAGGGGTTATTAAAAGAGAAAGCTATATCTCTATGACAGTTCTGATAAGAAAAAATGAACATATTTTAAGAATTTTTTTGCAGATTGATTTTCACTGGATTTGAAAATATTTTTGAAATGTCCTGAGCATTTAATATTTGAAATGCAAAGATCCCTGATTTTTTGATGATTTTAAAAACAACACACTACATTAAAAACTGAGGAATTATTTTGATACCAATGTTGAGATGCAGGAAACAACTCTGAAGGAATTTTAAGTGTTATATTTTAGCCACAAAAACATGGAAATGTCAACAGCTTATTTAAGGATATAAGTTCTATAGTTCCAGAATCTGTTTTAATTTTATCATATTTTAGAGTTTATTGTCCAGTCATGTTTCATGCATTGCATGTTTATTTAAACTGAATGATTTGGATGCTAAGAAAGGCAAAAGAATTTGAGTTGGAGTTTCTGGGAATTGGGATGATGTATTGCTAAAAATATTCAGTTATATAATATCCTGATAAAAAAATAAATGCATTAAATTTTAAATTTTTTATAGTGTGTTTACATAATGGTATCTCTTTAGTATCAGGCTATATTGTGTGAATTGGTCGCGTTTATCGTGAATTGCCGTATATTGATTTTTCAATTATTGAGAATGGTTGATTCTTCACGACTGAATATTTAAATATGTAATGGATGATTTATAGTGCTAATTTAAAGAGACACCTTTCTCTGACCATCCTTCACTTGACGACTCCATTACCTGAGTGATACAAATTGATTGTGGACATGTTATACAGCACAACTTTCATTTGATAGATGAGTGTGATTTATCTAAACATGCTACATCGAAGGTTTGACAAAATATAGTATTGCATGATTTCAGTATTAGTCCATTTATATGATGTACTTTGGTCAACTTTTAATTTTGTTTTTCCAAAATGTGAATATGTGAGAAATGTTTGTAGTACATAAATAGTAAATATTAAAATACTTCAGGTATAATGAAAATATACTGTGCATTGGTATGTTAGAATGTAATTTTTCATGTTCATTGAACAATATGATCTTTATCAAATTGTTATTGACTTTGGGAAAAATTATGTGATTGTTTCATGATCCCTATAATTATAAAAGTGTATGTATCTTAAGTCATTGAAATAGACATGAATTATCAGACAAATCCTTTATAATTTTTCAAAATGTGTATAACAAATTTTAATTAATTTTAGGGAGTGACGGGTTGCCATGACGACCATGGAGTCACCTCAGATCCAGGTTACATCATACGAGGACTCCAGCAGAAAAGTCCCAGATGACGACGACGATATTGACAAGGAATTAGAGTCATTTATCGCCACCAGAAAAAATGAAGATGAAAAGGTAGCTCAGAGTTTTTAAATTAAGACAACTAGATTGATACGTAAGAATTCCTTACATGATCAGATGATGATGTTTGCTGTTTATTTTTTGAGGGTGGGGGTAGGGGGTTGGGGTTGGGGATGGGGCGTTCGAAAAAAAATTATGCATTTTGTAATTTTCCTTGAGTGCATTTGCTAAGTTAATGCTAACCAAACAACATCATTGCTTCTTATATTTGACATAGATGAAATACCATATAATAAATTTTGATACTTTGAATTTAGGCAGCTCTTTTCACTTTCCAATTTTCAATCTATTGTTTCTACGCTACGCATATAAATTTATGAGTCTATTAATTATATACACAGTAACCAAATAAACAGATGAAAAATTAACTGTGGATTAAATAATAATTTACCAATAATAAGTAATGTTCCTATCCAGAAAATGAATGAATGATCCTTTTAAAAATATTGTACCATAAAGGGGAAATTGAATACATGGATCTTTATTTCTCTAGATCTATCAATATTTAATGAAAGAATAAAGGAAAATTATGCTTTATCTTCAGAATACTAATTGAACCTTATTTCAGGAAGGGGTAAAGAGTTCATAGTAATTTTGTTTCTTTGCTGAAAAAGTTCACCAAGTTCAAACAAGCTAGGTTTACTAGATTGTATTTATTGTAAAGCAATGTACCATAGTTTTATATTTTTATACATATTTACAAGGATTTTTCAAATTTTGATTTTCAAAATCTTTCAAAGAAAAAAACTTGCACTTATTCACAGTCTCTGTGATGGTTAGTTGCTCCTCCTTAACACCCCCCCCCCCCCTTGCCCCCCCACACACATAAACACAAACAATGCTTAGTAATTCTTGTGGAATATGTAACAAGTGCTTTATTAAAGCGATACAATCAGTGCTTTAAATGTTAACATTTTTGTGTAAAGAGCAGTGTAGCATTATCTCTGTGTATTAATGATTATTTTAGATTTTTATCAGCTTGGATATTTGCCACAGTGACTAGAGTGTATGCCCTATTAAGTGTTGATCAATAAAATGCTTTTCAAAATTTTAATTCACCAACTGAATAAATACCTGTCATTTAGAGGATCACACAATGGAATTTGAACTTAGAGTTTGAGGAAATAAAAATCATAAATATTTACGAAGTTTTTAAGGTAAAAATTAGTCAAATAGAGTATGGTTTGGTTTATATTTAATTGATTCAAAATTTCTATAAATATCAAAATCGAAATATATTTAACTTATTTATATATAATTTTTTTTTTTATTGCATGGCAGAGAGACCAATTGTTAACTGCAGTTAAACAAATATTCAGTACATGACTAATAAAATTTACTTTGGATAATTATTCAGTTGCAGTTGAATTTTTAACATGTCTAAGAATAATGTTTTTATTTTTAAAAAATAGAAGATGAGAAGCAAATACAAATATGAGGCATATTGTATTTTAGGCTTTATTTCTTTGATCACTTTGAAAAAGTTAACATTAGATTGTTAAATTTAAACACAAGAGGAAGTTCAGTTATCATGGTTATAGACATTTTTCAGTTTGCCAGAATCCTTAATCTTCTTCTACATGTATGTGACTTTGAAGAGCTCTATCAATTTGCACAGTCGTTTTGAAAAAAACTGAATAGTTGTGTCAATATTTAACCTTGCCGATCCTGATTTTAATATTGTGTGAAGACAAGAGCTGCTTTCTCTTTAAATTCTCCTCATGTTTTTCTTATGTTTGTTAGTTACATTGATAAAAAATGAAAACAATCTTATTATTAACCAATTGACTACAAGTATTTAAATCAAAGAGAAATTTACATTATTTTTTTTTTTAATTTTTGAATTCCTAAATGTTGAGTTAAGCCCTCTCTGCAGTAATTTTGTCATTAACGTCTCGCTTATCATTAAAGATTTACCTCCAATTTAACAGTTGGGGAGAGTTCCTGGAAACAAAAATATTTTTCCGCAGTAAAGCAGGTACTCTCAAGTTTATCATGTAAATTCTAAGTTTATACAAGGACTGTTGACATAGAGACTATTATGGATCTTCGACCAATCACTGGCGTAAGTTAATGTCTCCTGAATTAAAAGTTCTCGACCCGATAAATAGCAGCCCCTTACATTGCTGATAATGATATGTAACACAACAATTAAAATATTTACATTTATCATTAGCTACCTGCATGCATGTTACTAAGTACATTGAGGGAATATTTAAAATGGGCAAGACACACAATCCACAAAGTGAATTATAAAGGCTTTTAAATTTTCATGTTCATTGAGTTAATTCAGATAGAATCATATTATGCTGTAATATATTGTCTACTTGGAAAATATTTGGCTAAAATATTTTACCTTTGATTTACATGAAGTAAATATTGTTATTATATTTCTTAAATTTTGATTTTTTTTTTCTTGAAAATAATGTATAAGGAATGATATCATTTCTGATCAAAACAAAGCTCTTTTTGAAGATAACTCATTACCCAATTGGCCAAATATTTCAAAAATGGAAAAAAAAATGAGCTCACTGTTAATGTTTTGAAGTCATTAAGAATTTTAAAGAACAGATGGAAGCAAAAATTATTTCTCTCTAAGACAGTATTAAATCAGTGATCCTGCTGAACACAATTAATTTCTTGAAGATGTATAATCTCTTCATGTAAGGTCCTCAGAAATTGCTGGAAGGAAAATGCCTTCACAAATTTACAGCCTAAGAAATATTGATTGGACCGCATTACTTTCAGCTCATTGATTTTAATACTTTTGATGTATTTGCCTGGCATCCCAGTCAGGTGAGGGGTTTTTGTCTTAAGGATAAAAGTTTTTTCTTGTAGGAAGAAGATGAAATCTCATCAATTAGATCAAATGAAAGTGAGGCTGAGAAGCCAATCCAAAAAGAGGCTGACACAGATCAAAAAGTGGAGCCAAATGAAACAGTGAACGAAACAAGAGAAGAGGAAAAAAGGGAAGAAGTAAAAGTGGAAAAAGAGGAAAGAAAGGAGGAAAAGAGAGAGGAAATGAAGGAAAATGTAGAGGAAAAGAAGGAGGAGGAAAAAGTGACCAAAAGTGACAGAGACACTGAAGTTGACACTGACAGTGATAAAGTTGATTCACGGCCGAGTTCTGCGATGGCCGATAGGAAGGAGGAGGAAACGTCCCGAGAGAAAATGACGGATGATGAGGACTCGGAACCAAACGATTACACATTGACCGAGGACCAGAAACGAGCCCTCAAAGAGATCGAGTACCTGAAGAGTGAGATGGGATTACCGGGTAAGTGGAGATTTGTTTTTAATCAAGCAGAAGGACCAAATCAAGTGAAAAATATCCCATACAGAAATTTTTAATAAATAAAATCTTGTAAATTTATATCCTTTTGCGTCTTAGAGGGGAATATTCAGTTTTTCTTGTGCCTTTATAGGCATAGTTGAAAGAAGTTTGTGATAAAGCCGAATTTCTTTTAATTCAGCACATTGCAATTTATCAATACTCAATGATATCTAACCCATTTCTGGCTCCATTTTGTTGACTCGTTATCAATATAATTCAAGAGTGTGGAAGTCTTAAAACATAGGTTAATTCAAAAGTCACCAGCAAATGAACTATTTGTGTCATTCACCATATATGTGAGCAAACTATAAAGAGTCAAAGGATTGCGCTAACAGCTATTTGAATAGAATATTTCAAAGTCATTGATGAAAAAAAACCATGTATCGTAGTATTTTTCTGTTATTCTTAGCCTGACATATTTTGATTTCAAATTTTATATTTCAGAGGAAGATCCCCCAGAGTATGATGTCAAGGAAAGATTAAAAACGTTAAACGAGGAACTTGCCAATGACCCAACCCCTGTGGAAAAAAGTAACTCTAAAATTAAATTTAAAGCTAATCTAGTTGACTTAGTGGCTCCACCTCCCGACTACCCAGACGAAGAAACGCCCCGAGAAAATTCAGGAACTCCACAGTCTCAGGAAGCTGGCAAGGAAAACGAAGTGAAGAACAATGAGAAAAAAGTTTTAATCGAGTGTGATGGAAAATTCGAATTAGTCAGTGAAAATGACGTTAGGGCTAAGGACATGGGTTTACCTGTTTTCAGTAGTGATAAAGAAAACATAAATAATAGTAGCACAACGGACTCAAATTCTAACGGTGATTTCAATCGCAAACCTGCTCCGCCTTCTCAACCGAGACCCGCCACCGCCAACGGGAATTCCCGACGCTCGCGACCTGGGTCATCGAAACAGCGAGCCTCGTCAGCGGGGACACACAGAGGGTCGGTGTTAGGTGACTTTAATTATAATTCGCCATATGCGATGTCGCAGCATGATAAAAAACTCGTAGAAGAACAGACCAAACAGCGAGAACAAAGAGAGAGAGAAAGAAAGCAGCTGGAGAAACAAGAAAAGGAATATCAGGAGAGAGAGAACAACGATGCGTTTCAAGCTTGGCTTCGTCAAAAGAGGGAGGAGGCTCGGGTGCGAAAACAGAGAGAGGAGGAGGAGAAAAAGAAAGGCAAACAGTCCCCCAGACAGGTAAGATAGGGGAGATCACTGTGTAAAAACTGGTAGAAATACTCTCACGTTTCTGCCAGTTATGTTGTGCTGTTTTTGTGAAGTATGTCTTTTGTTTGTCTTAAGTGGTCTTTGAACATCTTAGCTTGTTGCACTTCAAATGTTGACTGCGAGTTGGATCGGGGGATATTTTTTCAAGGAAAGAAATTTTGAATTTTGGCAAATAATTTTGTGAGCATTAATTGATTTACTTTTGATAAAATGTATATTTCAAAACAGTTAAAGAAGAAGGTGTTTACTATCATATTATGGTTAATTTAAAATCAATTAAATCTGTATTTTTAAAAAAATTAAATTTGATTTAATGAAATTCATACATTGAAACATTCTGAACATGTATGAACTTGCAGTTATTCATTTGGTGTGCATGTGTGTATAATGTATTGAACTCTTTGTCTTTATATATAGGCATGTTGTCTTGCATGCACTATTATCCTTTGGTTTCCAAATATCAAATAATTTAATTAATCGTTTAATAATTAATTGGGGATGTACATAGACAAATTAGACATGATTCTTTAACATTTTGAAGACTTTATCATGTATGTAACAGAGTTGTCTTTCTTTGTGAGCTTTTTAATTTGTATCATATATATTTATTGTAAAATTGGGATTTTAACTTTATCTGTTGTGAAATTAATTAAGTTGACATCCATCTCATGGGCTTTTTCTTACATTTGGTCTAAATTACCTACAGGTAGACAGTAAATAAATTTATTGGTCAGTTCAAAATCAATCAAAATAAATAGTTACACATTGAATTTATAATGAATACAAATAATTTAATTGTAAAAGTAGGTAGCATGTAGACTCAAATTAAGAGACAATTTATTCTATATTTATGTTCATATTTTGATTGAATTCATATAATGGTGCATACAATCTTATGTGCTCCAAATCATGAATATAATGTTGCTTTTAAAAACAGTAAAATAGGATTATTTGTACCCGTAAATTTGATGTTAATAAATACTTATGGCATTTACTTATGATTGTAATGTTAAATTTTCCATATGTCATTGTGCAAAACTATACAAAGAAATTAGTATATGTAAATTCCAGTACATGGTTATCACGTTTGTTTCACAATTAACATATCACACAGTTACACCTACCCTCATTCCACCCACCTTATTCATTCCCTCTTATTACCCAATTCTAGTATAGAAACATGCAATATGTTTTAAAGTCCTTCTTCCTTCAACAAATTTGATAAAGCTTTATTGTGACAGAGAGTCAGAAATGTTATGTCCAGGCTTGACTGATGTATTAGGTTGCTGCAAAGTGCCCAAATCTCCTGATCTGAATTTTTTGTGATAGGAAATAAAATGATTCTTTACATACTACTTGATAATAGCCATGTGAAAAATGTCAACTTAAGATATTGCTGCGTGTGTTTGTGTGTGTGTCTGTGTGTGTGTCTGTATGTGTTTCTGTGCGTGGCTCTGATGTCTATTTTGTGAATCTGTTCTAGCAGCAATCCCATGGTAGCAACTCAGACATGGAATCGTACGAATCTCTACCCCAAAGCGAAGACCAGGTAAAATATCAAAAAGACAAAGATCAGACAATCCGGGACAAAAGAAAAAAAAAATTATTCCTTTTTGTCAATATTGTCCGTGCTTTGGATTTTTAAAACAAAAAAAATATGTATTGAAATTGCTATTCTTGAAATATGTTTATATAAAACTTGCAGATATTTAATCTAATGAAATGGTCGATTTTTTATTCTGTGCTTTTTTGGGAGAATTATGAATAAAACATTAAAAAAATATTGATTAATTGCTCAAGAATTCCATTTGAAGTACATGTATTTGATTTTGAAGATATGTGTTCAAGGATTTAGTAAAACATAAAGGTTTAAAAAACATTTTTTAAAAACAAAATTTTTGAAAATCTGCAAGTTATCCCTTCTGACATGCATAAGATAACTCTTAAAAGAGAAAAACATTATTTCCATTGAAATATATGGGTCATAATCTAATTTAAAATTAGAATTGTTAAAAATCTAAAAATAAGGGCGAAAAAATGCCCCACAGTATAATATTGTATAATATTAAGTTCTGTGGAAACAACTGCAAGCTTGTGGTAGAGAGCATGGTAGGACTTGTTGCAAAATATTCAGTTTTTATCTGCAGGTTTATTTCATTTTTAAAAAGGAAAAAAGTAGTCATTTAAAATAAATTGAAATCAGATAAATTACAGGCACGTAGCATCGTTTTTGAAAGTGGGGGGGCCAACCTGAGAAAATTTTTTTTTTACTTACCTGAAAAAGTTGAGAGCCAAATATTAAAAGTTGCCCAAAGTCGAAAATCCTATTTCGTTATAAAATATCTTTCAATTCAAATTTTTTGGGGTAAATTTTCTTTATAACAACTTTTGAAATGTGAAAACTTCGGTTATATTTTAAAGAATTGAAATCAGATATATGAAAAGTTTTTAAGCTTAATTAAGCAGCAATAAAAATGAAAGGCATTCTCTGCATTAAAATCGATATCTTATGAATTGAGGCAATCCTTTCAGAATTATGTTACAAATTTTGGCATGCTGTCCACTTTTTCTGTAAAGAAAGAAACTGTTCAACTGTAAATAGATTGAACTTTCTGCAAAGAAATTGATATATTTGAATTTTTCTTCACATAGGTGAAAAATACAGGTTTTTCAATTTAATTTGAAATCTTGTGTGATATTACATGCAGTGCTTTACACTACTTGTAATAATTAAGCTTTACAGTATAAACGAGGGGAAAAGGGGGGGGGGTATTTGAGTAGTTCCCATATTTTGGATAAGAAGAGGAGAATGAAAAGTGCAAACATTGACTTTTACTAAATAAAATATGTCTTTTAACAATCTAAATATTGCCTTAACTGTCATCAGTCTAAATTTTGCCTTTTACATATCTATGAATATTGCCTTTCCTGTAGGGCGATAGCAGAAATATTGGCCTCATCTCCTACCAGGATTTGTACATTGATCCAGAGGTTATTAATGGAATTAGACCAATGATAGTGCTAGTAGGGGTCAAGCGGTGACACATATTATCAGATATACTCCCTCTGGGGGCAGTAAAGCTGCCAACTTGCTACCTTGATTAATGGATTTCTCAAAGCTTGCATTTGATTTCAAGGAATGCTTCACTTCTTCACTATTGAATATTGAATTCCAAACATCAGTACATGTAATTAACATAAAATATATTATTTGGATAGTTGGAAAATTTGAAATAATTATTATTTTCCCCTAATTAAAGAATTAAAATTTGCAATATATTAAATTAAAAAAAATCTTTGAGATACCCAAAAATTCAAGATGTTGATCAAGTTTAAAAAGGTAAATATCCTCTTTAACTTGTCCATAGATTTGAGATATTGAAGATAAAGATATCCAAGCTGAACTGTATAATTTAATAAAAACCTTTTTTTTTTAAAAAAATCAGTCATATTCCAGTTTTTAGGTCAAATAAATTAAAGAAGAACAAAAATATTTGTGGTAGAAAAAATAAACCATTATCAATGAACAAAATTTTTGATTTTTGAACATTTTCTAACAACTGTGGGTCTCCCTTCTATCCCTTATTGCCTAAATCATAACATCTGTACCATATGAATTTGTGTGAAAGATTTTGTTTTGGGAATGCAGTTTTATTTTGACTTCAGTTCCATATTTATTATTTTTTTTTACATAAGTAGGAATTTTAAACACTGTTGAAATCAAAAGGGTGCAATGTTAAGTCATTACTTTCCAATTTGGGACAGTACAAAAATATATTTCTTTGATACTTAGAAGATTTTCAGTTAATTAAAACAGAGTACCGGTATTAGGAATTTTTAAAAAATGTATATAATTAAACTTCAAGTTGATTGAAATTAAATGTATAATTTAAACTTATTAAGAGAATTTCTACTATATATGTGGCCTCATAATTCATTTAATGTAAATTTGCATAGAGATAAATCAACACAATATAATTGTTACTGTTTGCTTTTTGATTGTTTATTTTGAATGTCAAGTTTCGAGACACTTTGGCTGCATGTCTTTTCTTTTTCATGTGAACTGAAATTAAAAAGAGATGTTTCATGCAAATTGGAGAGAAAAATTGAAAATTTATATATTAAGATTTTTTAAAATTTTAGTGGTACCTTTATTTAATAATGTTGATTTATTGCATGAAGTGCAGAGAATGACAAAAATTTGAATTCTAAATAATATACCAATTTCAATTCACTGACATTTGCATAATATATTAAATAAGTTTCATAAATTGATACATGAATTCAAGTAGTCCTTTGGCTTTGAAGTGCATGCAAAAAGTAGATATTCTCATAAAAATCATAAGAGTTAATTCTCAAAATGTCTTTTTTCAATTAGGGGTTGTGAATTTTATTATTGTATTTGTTGAGTTTTCATAAGAATATGAAGTCTCATTAATAACATAATTGTACCATAATTACAATTTTATTACTAAATATGAACTTTTAAAAATTCCATTCCTTGGACAGTCATTTTTTTCGTATGGTGAATGGTTGTTTGCATTAATGTGTTATTCATTGCTAAGTGAAACAGTGCTTAATTTGCAAATTAGTTTGAACACATCAGATTTTAAGGACATTCTATTTTAAGTTCCAGAAGGTCTCCAGAAAAAAGGCAAACTTAAATTCACTAGATCAAAGAGTACTAATTCTAGATGCAAAGAGTAGTAAGCATGATGCTTTTCTTCCATTTGGAACAAAAGTTTAAGAAAAATGGTCCTAAAGTATATATTTTTATAAATTATATTTGATAGTACTATATTTTCAGCTCTCTTACTCACAGGCAAACAGACAAATTTGCCAGGGAATATACATTTATCATGTTTATGGTTTCCATCAAACTTTGTTGTTGGGGTTCTCAAAATGGCCCACTTTGTACTTCATAATTATACAATTGCACATTTTGTTGAAGAGGTGTATTACTGTTCTGAAAATTCAAGACTGTGTCATAATTTTTTTTGTATGCTTACTATATAGTATATTGCTTTTGGGGGTAAAATAGATACATTTTATTAGTCTGGTGAAAGGAAAAAAAAATTTTATAACTCATGCAAATTTCATCAAATTTAAATTGGCCAAAATTTAAACTGATCCACAATTTTTAAAACACTACCACTTTGCCTCTGGTTTAGTGGGACATAAAAACATTTAGAATGGTAGTTTTTAGCAAGTATAGTCTAAGTTTTTTTCTGCTTGTATTTTTCTTGCACAGCATTGGTCAGACACATTTATGAGGAATAGGAGTTTGATGCAAAGAATCTTTGGCAAAACTGTAATTTACAACTTGGAAAAGAGTGTGGGAATTGTATGAGTTTAATCTAGTCAAGCAGCGTTTCCAAAAAAAAAAAAAATCATTTCTGGTTTTGGTTGGTTCTGAAAAAATATACATGTACCACCTGAATTAATGAATACAATTAACATATTTTATGATATATACATCTTTAGTATCAATTGTATTTTCATAATAATAAAAAAAACCCTTCAAATCCTTTCTTTGAACAATTGCTCTTTTTATTGATCACTTTTCTTTAAAATTCATAATTGAAAAAAAAATTATATATACAAATCACAAGTTTTATGAGCTAGTTTATATGAAAATAATTGTATTATTGACTTCCTTTATGAAAATCCAGTTTCATCATAACTTCAACAAAGTACATGCTCTCTGTGGTTTCACTGTCATCATCCAAGCAATTTTAACGCTGAGAACTTGGATAAGCATCATAAATGTAGCTTTTGACTCTACATCATCAACATCATCTCAGGGTTGTTGGAAATAATGGTTTCCTATTCACGTCTGAATCAATCTAATAAATCATGGTTGCATATTCCCATTTCCCAAATTCTGTAAGAGAGAGCAATGGTAATTAAGCTATTAAAATCTGGACTAGAAATGATTTTTTTTTCACTTGAATTAATAGTACAACTGATGAGTCTTTGACAAAATGCACCACTGCTGACTTGCTGATTGACGCACTATGTAATAATTCATGCAAATATTATTAATATATAATTTCAGATTTGTTATCAATATAACTTTCACTGCTCATTCTGTTTTTTTCAGAATTTATTCTTGCTAATGAACTATCAAGTAATTAATATATAACAGATTACCTGTGATCTTTACAAGTAATTGAATTATACAGTTTATACATAGTATATTACAAGTCTTTAATTGGCAAAGATCAAGCAGATAGCTAGATAAAGTATTCCAAAACATGAATACTGGTTGAAAGAAGGGCCTTTATTTATGGCAAAACAAAACCACTCAGTTGAATAAGTCAAACCTCATTTGTCATTTTTCAGATGAATTAGATGTTCTGATTTAATATAATTTGATAATCTGCATTATTTTCTTAATTAATTATTTTTTTTACCTTCAATTTTACCAGCTTGATTCTTTATTTAAGAGATCAATTTCTTTTTCTTAATTTCTTTTAGCATTTAAAATTCATTCTGTCATGTCAAACATGCAGACCATTAAAGAAAGTTGACATCTACAAGGATAGACATGTGTTTTTTAAAAGTTTTTTATTTCATGCAAACTGATAATTTTGTCAAGCAAGTATCACATGCACATTGCAGAGGTTATATAAGTTCTATACTGGGCAATTAGATTACTTAATTAGTACCTAAAAAAAAATATTTGAATTCCATTTTCTAAGTATTATTTTTAAGATTTAAAATTTTTGAAAAATAAAATGCTTCTTTACAATCAAATTACTCAAAAACTGAATTGTATTTAAAATCGATCTCTTATTTAAAGAAATTTCTGAGTGAATCATTTTTCAGAGAAGATACAGAATAACTCCAGCGTCCCCCCCCCCCCCACTTTTCTTCTCACCCTCTCCTACATATTAATCAATTGTATAAAAAAGTTCCAAAAATTTATACTTTAATTTCAGGATGAACAGGTCAAGGAGGCTTACTCAACTTGGCTGAAGAGCAAACAGAAACAACAAAAACAGGAGAAACTGCTGAAGAAGCGGGAAGAGATGGAATCCACAGATGGCTTCTACATCCGCTCGCGGCAGGAATGTGACCAGGCCTTCAGACAGTAAGTCTTTACCCTGTATGCAAGTGTGCTTAAAAAACCTTACTGTGTATGTCTGACGTTGTTATTCCTAATGATGCTTTCCTGAATCCCCACCTCCAGTAAGTTTTTTTTCCAAATTTTTGGCTTCTTTAAACAGCTAATATTTGATAGTTGGAGATATATCGATGAATAGTTGCTAGAAATTTTAGTATACTTTTAATGAATTATGAAATTACATTTTTTATCACCAGAAAATTCATAATTATGTCATCAGAGATATTTCAGAACAATTTACTTAGAAATCAGTGATATTTTTATTGACTTGTGATTTAGCAAATTTTATATTATATCTGAAACTAGAAATTACATTTTTAATCACCAGATAGTCTTTTGGTACATAGTTTATTCATTTATTTGTTCATCTTTCAAATTACAATTAGAGAAAGTATTGTCGTGAGAACAATTTACCGTCCAAACATGTTTGATTTTGTATACATAAAGATTTCACGAAAGTAACATTTTGTTTTTCTAGCATATTTTTTAGAAAAATAATGACTTTTCATATAAAATCATTGTAAAAACTGCTTTTAAAAATATTTTATATTATATATATCTGAAACCATTATAATTTTTATTAAAGCACAGAAATTTGCAATTTTTCAAGATTTAGTAAGTTTGCATATTGGGAGAGAAATTTAAAGTATTCAAGAAATGACCTTGTAATATCCCATGAGCATCATCCAAGGTCATGCTGACCCAGAGCATGTGATGCTTGTGTATGTGTGTACCTTTTATTTTCAGAAGTAACGGTGATTTTTAACTACTAATATGGCCTTTTCTGTTTCATTTTTTATTTTTCAAGCTCAGAATTTTTTTCTTTAAAAATTAATATTTATAAGATTGCACATTGCATGAAGCTTGTTCAACTGACCTAAAGGGTTTTCATTTTTGGTATAACCTACCAGGATTTTTTTAATATCACAAATTTCACTGCAATTGTTTTCAATCACCATTTATTCACTTTTAATTCATCCATATAAATATTCAGCATTTTTTTTTTATTTCACTCACTGAAAATGCTGTTCAGCAATCAGTGTAAAACATTTTGACTGATGCAGTGCCCCATCAAAATCCACTGCATTTAAAATCCAATTTGCATTGAATGAAACTCTTGCTTACCACAAATTTCAGATATCATTTGAGTTTATTGTTATGGTAAATCTTGAGCAACCCAGAAAAGGCCAAGTTTTTGAAGTGTGAAAGTAGATTTTGTGAAAATTTTCAGTTGTTGTGTGAAAGTATTTTGGCTTTGATAACATTGTATTAGTCATAGTTAAAAATTTTAAGAGTCATGAAAATTAATTTGGATTTTTAGATTTTCTTTTCTTCTGTAAAAATTTGTGGTAACAATTGTTTCGTCATTGCAGGTGGCTTAGGCAAAAAAATGCGGAAATTCGGAAAAAGCGTGCTACCGAACGCCAGGCAATTAAACTTCAAAGATTGATGGCAAGGAGAAGCAAGAAGGCTAACACGCTTCGGAGAGCTGTAGTCTTTTCCGACGCTTTCCGATTTTGACAGAAAAATCATCAAATCAAAAAAATTTAGTAACCCCTTTGAAGAATTTTCTTCCACTGCAAGAAGCCAGACTTTTAAATCCGAAAAATTCCCAAAGAATCAAAAACTAGTCTGCGAGGCTTTTGGAAGTTTGAGTGTCACTGTGATAAAAGATTTTGCAAAAGAAATGTTTTTGGTATAGTGCTAATTAATAAGCTTTGTTGTTACAGATGGATTAGGAAAAAGAATTCGGAGTCCAGAAGGGCTCGGTTCATGGAACAACAACAACACCGACTAAATCGCCTGGCAGCGAAGAAAACTCGTAAAAACCTCTCGGCTCTGAAAGCTATGAAGCAGTCCAATGCTTTTGTTTATGTAGATTACTATGGATACAGATATTAGTTTTAAGGACTTCAAGATATGACCATTCTTCTTACATTCAATATTTTGTTTAGGTAAAAATTATTTTATGTTATATTACAGATTCATCAGATTTCTGTATATTAGGATTTATTTAGGACTGTGTATATGTTTTTATGTTGGCGATAAAAAGGAAAACTGATCAAAAAATCAAACGACTCTTGTATACTCTTGTAATCAAATTTACTTCTAGGGCAGACATTCCATAAAAAAATATTCAAAACTGGTGCAGAAAATATTATGTGACAATAGATTTGTCATTGATAGTTTTGCATCTTATAGATAGTGCTCAGATGAGAAGAATTTTGTAACATTCAGTTTCTGTTATGTGATATTTATGATACATATATATAGAAAGAATGTATGTTATGCAGAGATTTTTGGATTTCTCTTAGGCATAAATTTGATAATTACTTCTTCCAAAATATTAAAAGTAGCTAGGAATAGATTTTTAAAAGGAAAATGATAAGAAGGGTAACTTTATAGAAACCTCTAAATTGAATTCTTTTATTAGTAAAATAACATTATAGTAATTAATTTCCATTGGTTGATTTTTTCTTCTGTGAGTTGAATATGAAAGTTGCTAAAAAAGGTTGTTTTTCCATTTAATTATTTAAGCTGCCAAGAAAAGATTACACTAACAATTTTATAATGATTGCTACATATTCTAGATCCCATATATAATGCTGAAGGAATTGGGGCATATGTTTGTAATTATAAAGAATGTCCCTTTTAATTTTCAGTCACATTTTAACATTTGTTCTGGGGCCCATTTTACAAAAGAACTTACAACTAAGACCAATATAAAACTATGCTGAATACCTGCTGTTTTTCATTGATGTGAAAAGAAGTGTATTCTTTTTAAAAAGAATTTAACAAGGTATTTTTATCTAGGAATTTCAAACAAAATCATTAATTTTGCAAACATTTACAATCAACTATAGTTTTTGGTCTTAGTCATAAGTTCTTTATTTATAAAATGGGTCCCTGGTCCTGAGTGATTTTTCTTCTCATAAAAAATATGTTTCAAAAATAGATCGAGTTATGTAAGGTCAAAAAACAAAAATAAAACTTCTTTTTTTTTTGCAAAATCCTGATAACTGTGATAAATTTTTCATTCCAGTCATGTTTACTTACTTGAATTATTTCTGCTCAGCGGGACCATCTACATATTAAATGAATTTAACACAAAAACAAATCTCTTGTTAGCCTGACATAGACATCTTGCTTGTTCATCACAATTTCAATTAATTTGAGTTTTTGAAAAGTGGCACTTTTGGTATTATATATGTACCATAAGCAGGGTTTATTTTTTTTCACTTATATATATAATGTACCATATATAAAGGTCTTAATTGTGATTAAAATGGTATGTATATGAAATGAATCGGAATTTTATAAATTTGTTTATTTGGACAATAGCTCATTTTAGTCTCTGTTGAATTTTTAAATGTATTTCATATAGAAATTTAAAGTAAGAAAAAAAAGCTTATCCTGTAAAAATGGCTTTAAGGTTTTTGTGCCATAAGCTTATACCTTGTTTAATCGAATTAATTTTCAATTGCGTACACACTCGCCAGAGATCAAAGTTATAAGCTTATCTGTGATATGGTTTTTTTTTGTTTGTTAAATTTGTGCAACAAAGATGGCTTATTAAAATTATTGATGTACTTTGTTTTAAAACATTTTGAAATGAAATGTTTTATGATGATGATAATATTTTGAAGTTGAACACAAAAGTGTATGCTATTAAATGCTTTCAGTCTTTTTAAAAAAGATTTTAAAATTCTAAAAATGGCATGCTTTGTTAGCTGTCATGGATGTTTACAAAACTTAATAGTGGGTTTAATACATGTTTCAAGTATTGAGATTTTAGTAAAAACAGTTTCGATTTTTTGTTTATATCTTTACAGAAACATGTAATATGACCCAAAATATTTTAAATATTAACATTAGCCCACAACTCTGGTATTAAGAAATTATTATGGAGTTATGATAATTTTTTGTTAATTTTTGTTTGGGTTGTGGGCAAAATTAGCTTGAAATTATGCATGTCTCTTATATATAAACATTCCTAAAAAATCCAACTGCAGTGAGTTGAAATACTTGTGTAAATGTTAAATTAAAAAAAAATATTCTGTTGCCTTAATTGTGCATGTTAGGATTTTTGATCCTTTGTTAATTTGTAGTTGCATCAGTTGATATTAACATGAAATAAGCTTCATGACTAGATATGTGATTGTTACTATAAATACATGTAGATAGCTGTGTGAAACTAATGATACTGTGTGAGTGTGTATGTTAAACTTCTTAGTAAATATGTGATTGTGAGAATGTGAAATATACATATTGTAATTAAAATTTGGAAAGAAACTTGCATGTTATTTGGTTTTATAATATCCATGTCTCTTTTGTAGAACAGGTCTTTCAACAAATTATTGGAATTCCCATGGGTACCAATTGCTCCCCGTTATGAGCAAACCTATTATTGTATTCATTTGAAGCAGAGTTTGTGCAAAATCTTATTGGTGAAAAGAAGAAAACACTTGCTGTGGCTTTCAACTCGACATTTAGATACATCAACGACATATTGTGTATTATCAATGGTTATTTCCATTCTATGTCGATACAATATAACCTGGTGAGCTTGAGATAAAAGATACCACAGATTCTGACAAATCTATTTCATATTTGTATAGTTTACTTGAAAAAAACGTCAATGTTAATCTAACAACCAAGCTCTGTGACAAACTTGATCAATCGTCAACTTCCACTGCTTATGCAGCAATATACCTTCATCCTGTATACAGAGTTTATATATCTCTCAGTTGATTCGATATGTAAGAGCATGCTCTACGTATGAACAATTTCTAAAACGAGGTAAATTATTGAAACAAGTTGAAAAAACAAGAATTTCGGCAGTCTCGTTTAAAGTCATCATTTCGTAAGTTCTATGGTCGATACAATGACCTTGTCAGCAAATACAATTGATCATTGAGTCTAATGCTGACTGATGTTTTCCATACTTATTGTTAGTCCATTATTTATACACTGAATTGACTACGGATTTTCCCTTTATTTCCCTATCATGACACAGCACACGGCGGGTGTTACCGGTCGGCAGGGGATGCTCACTCCTGCATGGCACCTGATCCCACCTTTGAGGTTTTCGAGGTCCGTGTTTTCTCTGCTGCTCTTTTGTATTGTTTTATGGACTTTAAATTTTGAGCTTGAATGCAGTTCGTTATCTCCATATTCTTCATTTCCTTTCGAAGAAATCTATGATGTACACATGGGTAGTGCTTCCTTCACCAAGCAACCAATATTTTAAGTGAAGGTGACGTGTCTTTGGGAAGAGACGCAAAAAGGACGTAAAAAAACAATCATTTAATTAACTTTCTTATGATAATGCATTGATATAGCCATTGGTTTTGACACAGTATTCTAAACTACTGGTAAAAAATAATACAAAATTGATTGTCTGAAATGAATGAAAAAAAAGCAAATGAAACAACCAAAAATCAAGCTCACAATATCACTGGAACAATACGGATCAGGAACAGAGTAAAACGGGCCTCTAAATATCATACATGTAGGTAGGATCAGGTGCCACAGAAAAGTAAGCATCCCCGCTCAGAGCCCTCAGCAGATCTATTGAACGTGTCAGACAAATGCAGTTGGTAGCTGGGATTCAAGTACAAACTGTTCACATAAAATTTTATTTAGATAAAGACTGATGCAACTACTTGAGCAGCAGGCTACAAGTCTCAGAATATCATTTAAAACTGGTTTTAAAACGTGGCAATCCTGTTGAATTTTAATGTTGTTGAGATTATTATGTAATTGAATCTTATCAACACCTCTGCTTTCTTAGAAAAGTTCAGTAGAATATAGGACGTTAATTAACCAGGCGTAAATTGGCAAGCGAATACTTCATTCTAAAAATGACTGATCTAGTTCCTTTGACCAGCTAATTTTATTTTTAAAAAATCCGTGCTATGGATTTCATTGACAAAGGTAAAATTTGTTTAAAAAAATATTCATTACTCATGTTAATCAATTTAGATTAAACTTTAATCTCGTACCTTCTTTTGCTGTTAACATCTTTCGTGAACTTCAATGCTTTAAAAAATGAAAGAAGTTACCCTAAAAGATTGTCTGCAGAACTGAAGATACTGTGATTTAGCATTAGAATTTCATTATTGTCACCTTAGGAATTTGAGAGAAGGATTTTCAGTCTGATGTCTCTGTCTCACGGTAAAATTACTGATTAACAGGTTTACCATAAATCCGAAAATAGTAATGAGTACCTTGCATGTAACATGAATTAGTTTTAGATCACATGCAATAGAAGCGTACAAAGATCCCGAAAATGCTGACAAATGTAATATTCCCGAGGCAAAGTTTGCATAAAAAAACGGCCTAACAAATGACAGAAAATATCTACACTAAAATACGATCCCAATGTTATATTTGCTAACAATGTAAAAAGTGAAAATAACGAACAGTTTTCGATCTAAAAAAAATAATAAAACAAATCTGTGATGAAGGCAAAAAACACGGTCCCCTAGAGTTCTAGAAGTGAGATCAGGTGCCAAGGAGGAGAAAGAATCCCCTGTTGACTGGTCACATACCACCGTGAGCCAAAAAATACATTGCCTAGTCAAGTCTAGTATAAAACAATGTCGAACATTTATCTTTAAACAGGATCACCCAAAATACGACCCAATGATAGGTTACATGTGCTAACACAGTAATTATAAAGACCCTCAAAAATTTAGTTCATTATTTTTATGTATTTTAATGAGGTTGTTGAGATTCCTGTAGCACCAACTTATAACAGAGTCGCCTGTCGCG